AAGAGACGAAACTAACCCACAGAAACACACACACATGCTCATATACACATGCACTGAATAAGCCAGTGTTAATTCTGGTGGAAAAAAAAAACAGAATCATTAGAATTGAAGCCAGGCTTACTGGTACCCAATCAAAATCTGATGATCAACTGTGCACTATGGCAACAAATGCTCTTACTGCTCTTCACAACATAGTCATTATCCCGTACTCCAGAAGGACAATAACAGGTAGAGCAAGCCTAAACACTCACAACCTGCCCCTGTTGCCTTAGCAACATGCATGGTTTATGAAGCACTTTCATGCATGAGAAGGACCCTGAAGGCTCCCTGTACCCAGATAGGATCAGTGTTCTGCTGGCTCAGGTTAGGAATGTAGGTCTCTTGAGGACTGCTAGCCAGACCTTCCGCATATCTCTCCCCAACCTTACCAAAGGGAATTGGGGAAAACCTCTCAACATGCTACCTAATTTGCTCAAAAGAATGTGCACTTTGGAGTCACCCAGCACTCCTTTCAAGTCTTGGCTCCACTGACAAATAGCTGTGTGATCTGGGCAAGCCATTTATGATCACAAACCTTAGATTCCTCACCTGTCAAGCAAGTGTAACTGCAAAGTCTACCTCTTAGTGTTCTGTGGGGATTAACTGAAATTAGTACCATGCATTTGATAAATGTCAGTTACCTTGCCACTCATCTCTAGAAGACTGGAGGACCTGAAGAACTCAGTGCAGCATGATAAGTTCTGTCTTTCTTTTTTTTTGTTGTTGTTTTTTGAGGAGTCTTGTTCTGTCACCCAAGCTACAGTGCAGTGGCACAATCTCAACTCACTGCAACCTCCGCCTCCAGGGTTCAAGCAAATCTCCTGCCTCAGCCTCCTGAGTAGCTGGGATTACAGGTGCCCACACCACATCTAGCTAATTTTTGTATTTTTAGTGGAGAAGGGGTTTCACCATCTTGGCCAGGCTGGTCTCTAACTGCTGACTTTGTGATCCACCTGCCTTGGCCTCCCAAAGTGCTGGGATTACAGGTATGAGCCACTACTCGGCCAGATAATTTCTAACTGGTTGTCAGACATACTTAGCTAAAAGTACATTTGTCTAATGAAAATGTACTTAGAAACCTAACATGAAATTAGACAAAAGCTGAGCTGTGGGGTTGGGAAACCTGGAGTCCTAGTGCCTCAGGCCAGTTGTCCTTCAATCCCAGCCATCTGAGGGCATCCCAGAAGCCCACGGGAATCACAAGAAGATGGTTTATTCATTGTTCTGGATTATCCTGGTGCTTCCTTTCACTTGGATGGGGCTTGGTCCTGATTTAACTTCTTCCGAAGGGAGCTATGTATTTTCTCCAGCCACAGGCTAGGAAGTTACGGGAGCTGGGCTCTGCTCCTTACCAAACCAGGGCAGACAGACACTTGCAGGCACCTTGCAAAGTAAATAAATGTGTCTGTTTTTTTCATCTTCCCCACAGTTCCCAGGGTGGGACTACACACCGTGATAATCAGCACAGAGAGCATCTCCTTAAACCATCTTGTTCATTTTTCAAAACCCAGGGCAGGCTCACCCTCCACACAGAATGTACTGAGCTTCTGGGTCCACACAGACTTCCTCCTTCAGTGTCCACCTCACTGAATCGTGAAACTCTTGGGATTTGGGGGATCGTATGGGTTAGCTGTCTTCCTATGGTTCTCACTCCTCTTTACCCTCAAGTTTTCTCAAGCTAGCAGCCCTGGGGGAGCTGAGTACAAACACAATGGAAAGAAGAGAGCTGAGGCCTTCCCTCACAGTGCAATTCTTTATACTGTTTGTAGACGAGGAGGCTCTGTTGAGACATGAGATATGGAGGATCCCGATGAGAACAAACCTATTAAAATGGTGAAGACAGTGGATCCTGGGACAGTCTAGGTGTGAACTGTGGCTCTGTCACTGAGTAACTCTGGTCCATTTACTTCTCCTGGACTCAGTTTTCTCACACTTAAACTAAAATGATAGTAGCAGTACTTTTCTCAGTCATCGTGAGCATTAATATGATGGGAAGGCTTTAAACAGTGCCTGGCATGTGATACGCATTCAGTCAACTTCTCATTGACACTTTACTCAGCATTTTCTAATGACGTGAGTTAATACGAGATTGTCAGAAATAAAAATAAAAGCACTGAACTCAAAGTAAGGATCAAAATTGTAGTTGTGATTTATCCATCAATTTGATGTATGACTTTAAGAAACTTACTTTCTCTTTTGGGACTCAGTTTTCCCCCATTTGATTCATCATTTGGTGGGAATACATGATCTAAAAGACCTCCTGTTGGCTGGGCGTGGTGTCTCATGCCTGTAATCCTAACACTTTGGGAGGCTGAAGTAGGTGGATCACCTGAGGTCAGGAGTTCGAGACCAACCTGACCAACATGGCCAAAACCCATCTCTACTAAAAATACAAAAAATTAGTTGTGTGTGGTGGCGGCACGTGCCTGTAATTCCAGCTACTCAGGAGGCTGAGGCAGGAGAATCAATTGCTTGAATCCTGGAGGCAGAGGTTGTCGTGAGGCAAGATCATGCCACTGCACTCTAGCCTGAGTGACAGAGTGACACTATGTCTCCTAAATAAATGAATGAAGACATCCTCTTTTCTATCTCTTTTGACTTTAGATAAAGTGTGTGACGGGGCAGAAATGGCTGATTCTAGGGTAAGCTGCCTGGCTTCCTCCCCATGTCGGCTTCCTGTGCCGTGTACCAGATATTCACAGAACTCCAATCCTCTGGTGAAAGAATTGAGATCTGGCTTATACATGCATGTGACACATCTTAAATTTAAAAAATTAATCCCAACCTTATAAAAAATCAAACTCTTTAATTTTATAGGCATAAGCACATTAGATCTATTTATGGGGCAAATATCCAAGCTCTGATCGATGGCCTCTCATCTGGCTTCCTGTATTCATGGCATGGCCCCAGCAAAATAGGCATGGGGATCCTATGGCCAGGTGCCACTAAAATATAAATGTCCCTTCATTTCTAATGGATGCTGAAGATTGCAGCTTATATCATTAGGCTGGTCATAAAATATTAAACATTAAGTAATCCAATGTTACTCAAGAGCCAGGGCCAAGTTGGTGCCTTTTTCTTCCCCTGTTCGGGGAGAAATGGCCCTGAGTACCCAGACTGGCCCCTGAGAACTGGCAGGATGTGATGCCAGCACCTTTACTGTTTATGGCTGGAAGTTGTCTTTCCTAGGGTTTGATGATGCTGACTGCTCCAGGGGAATGAATGGCAGAGTGCCAAGCCTTCAAGCAAAGCTTTGGCTTCTCCTGGGAGAGATGTCCAGAGGGGTTACTCTTCTTCCCTAACTCTTCAGGAACAGAATCTTCAGAGGAGATTCTCAGTGTCTGATTTGGCAGAGATAGGCTATGGTACATCCTTTTAGTGCCGCATATCATGACCCCACAGCCGCCTGATTTCAGTGCAGTGATGATAGATAAATGTCACTGTCAGCATTTCCGATTCTTTTTGAGTTCATTCAGTTCACACTCAGGTGCTGCCCGGAAGTGTGGGAAAGTTAATGCTGCTAGTGGTGGCTCTCAACTAATGAGGGGTGGTCAGTAAGTGTCCCAGCCACTTGTCTTTTAAAGATATATTTTTGATACGCATTTTATGTGTTTCTTCAAATGATCCCTGGCAGTCTTGAACCCCACTTTGCCTGCAGCAGTAACTAGCCCAATTCTGCACCTTTCAATGGTTCCCTCTCTTGTTTTCATTGCCCTCTCACTCTGGCTTCCTGAGGTTACCTCCCAAATAAATTACCTCATCCAAGTCCTTGTCTCAGGCTCTGCTTACAAGGGAACCCACACCAACATAAAGGTTTACCATATAGGAGGATTTCTGGAAGGGGAAGGGAACTTTGGAAGCTTGAG